GGCACAGCCACCACTGTCACTGTTGCAGTTGTGGAGAGGAGGGGAAATAGGAATGAGCAGCATCTACCGGCCTCCCACCTAAAGAAAAAATGAGAAAAGGTCCCTTTGCCACTCCACCAGAGCTAAAACAAAACAAAACAAGACAAAACAAAACAAATACCTAAATTAACAAAACAAAACAACCTCACTTTATTTACACCTTTTTCCCTTAGAATTCAGATGTAAAGGAAAGTGGAAAGAAATCCCATGGACGATCTCTCATGACAAACTTTGGAAAACATAAGGTATGTATTGAGAGTGATGACTGTGTGTAATGCAGTAAAACACATTTTTTTTTAAAAACTAAATTGATTGAGCACCTGACACAGCCCTGTGTTTCTGCAGCCTTGGATATATTGTGCTTAGATTTTATTACAGATATAAATTAAATGATGTAATATAAAACCATAAACCCAATTCAAAACTATATGCAATTAAAACTACCAAGAAGGCTCTAAGTGTTTAGCTGAGGCTCAAAGCGATGGCATAATTGAATTAGAAATGTACTTGTTTGGCCTCTAGGAACTTCTGTACAGACTTCATATATTGATATTCAGACACTCTTAAGTGTCCTTGCCTTTAAATGGGAAAATATTTAGTGTTTAAAAAGAACTTAAAAAATTAACATAGAAACAGATTCCATTATTGACAGAAGTAGCACAAAGACCAGACTAGGAAGGAGGTCAAATCTACTAAGGCATGAGTTTGTTTGGGAAATAGTGAAAATCTAATTTGTATTAACCTCTACTAAGTAGAGGATGCATCTTGTAATCTCAAGGGTTAATAGTAAACAATGGATGTGCGTCTAAAAAATGAATAATCCCACTGCCATGAAGTCAATTCTGACTCATAACAATGCTATAGGACAAAGTAGAACTGCCCCATAGAACTTCCCCGGTTGTAATCTTTATTGAAGCACACTGCCACATCTCTCTCCCACAGAGCCCCTGTGGGTTCAAGCCACTGACTTTTGGGTTAGAAACTGAGTGCTCTAACAAGTGTCCCCCTGGGCTCCTTCAAAGGTGAATAGAATGAGAAAAAAAGGGAAAAAAATCAATTCAAAAGAAGGAAGACAAGAAGGAAAACAGAACACAGAATATATAAGACTAATAAAAAGTACATACATATATCAATTATTAATTAAATATGAGTGCACTAAAAACTCCAATTAAAACACAAAGATTGACATATAGTATGCTAATAGAATGTTATATGTAATATACAAGACAAGCATTTTAAATATAGGAACCAAAATAGAAAGATTCGAGATTGCCATGCAATCACTAACCAAAAGAAAGCTGATATAACTACATTAATTGTAGACAAAATAAGCTTCTTAAATCAAGAAACGCTACTAGAACAAACAAATTGGTTAAAAAGTGGGCAAAGCCTCAAATAGACACTTCACTTAAGAAGTTCAAAGTGGATAATAGGCACATGAAACCATGCTTAACTTGATTAATTATTCACCGATTGATAATTGAGTTGTTTCTGACCCAAAGTGATGCTGTAGGGCAGAGTCGTTCCACCCCTGGGGTTGCCCGCGTTGTAATCTTCAGAGATGCAGACTTCCACCCACATGTTAGTCCCGTGCAGAAGCTGGTGGAGTTGAATTGCTGACCTTCAAGCTAGCAGCTGAGTGCGTTGGCCACTGTGTCCCCGTGGTAGTGGTTGCTGTGAGGTGGTGCCGAGTCAGCTCCAGCTCATCAGGATGCTGTGTACGCAGAACAATACATTGCCCAGTTCTGGGCCATCCTAGCAGTGGTCGCTATGCTTGAGCCTATTGTTGCAGACACTGTGTCAATCCATCTAACTGAGAGTAGTTCTTTTAGGGGGAGGACCCTTTACCAAGCAGGTTTTCCTCCAAGGGCTGGTAACTCCTGATACAATGTTCGAAATGTGTGAGACTGAGGTTCCCACCTTAGCTTCTAGGGATCATTCTGGCTGTACTTCATTCAAATTAGATTTGTTCATTCATTAATCGTTAGAGAGACACAAATCAAAACAAAAATGTGAGACCACTTCACAACCACTGATGTTATTTATTGTTGTTTGGGGCTGTTGAGTCAATTTTAACTCATAGTCCCCCCGCCCCGTCTCGTGACATAGGCTCGCTGTGAATGCCACACAGGGCTTTCTAGGCTGTCCTCTTTAGAGGAAGGAGTTCTACTGGTACAATGGTTAGGTGCTTGGCTGCTAACCAAAAGCTGGAGCCTCGGAACCCACCAGCAGCAGTTCTGCATGAGAAAAGATCTAGCAATCTGCTACCATGAAGATTACAGCTTGGGAAATCCCATGGGCAGTTATACTCATTCAAAGAGGGTGGCTATGGGTTGGACTCTACTAGATGGCAGGCAACAGCAATGCTCTTTATACAAGAAGATCACCAGACTTGTTTCCTAAGGAGCTGCTGGGTGGTTTCAACTGCCAACCTTTTGGCTAATAGCTGAGTGTGTAACTGTTGAGCAACCAGGGATCCTGAGAATTACCTATGACCGAATAATTCCACCCCAAGGTAGAGACCCAAAAGAATTGAAAGCGGGAACTCAATCAGATGGTTCCCAGCGTATCAATGTCAGATGATTCTACTTGCCCTTTAAGTTTGTATAAATTTGCCCTACATACAACTAAGTCTTCATCACAATCACCTACACTTGCTGCACACGCGGCTTTTAAGTCATTGGAAAGGCTGTGAACCTTTTCCTGCACTGCACCGTAAAGCTAAGAATTATGAGGTTTCAAAACTTCAGAAAAATTGAATTGAAAGATAATGGATTTCCCCCAAGAACTTTTGTGTCAAACTGCATGTAAAAAAACGACACCATCATCTCATCTAACACTTTCTGTCATTGGCTGCTCATTCTCCTACTCTTTGCATTTTAATTTTAAAATGAGTTTTAAGTGGATAATTTTATTATGGTACCACCTAAAATTCCTGGCTATAAGTGGAATTAGAGAGCATTTTGTTTTTTTGATTACAACTTGCCATTTAATTAAGATTATCCTAAGTAAGTGTTATGGGATATTGTAGCTGCCATAAAAATAGAATTCACCATGCCTCAAATCGTAAGCATAATTATCCATGAGACTAAAGATGTTTTAAATGACTATCAATAATATTTCAGATAAAGCACTCACATTATGTAGCTTTATGTCCATGCATTATTTCCACATCAACTTATTTAATATTCCTTTGAAATATGTATTATTGCACTACTTCTTAAAAACAAAACATTCTAGGAAGCTAGAGAGATTGACTAATTTGCCGGCCTGGATTGAGGCTGAGCTGAGGAGGTGCTAGGATTCACATAGCATGCCTACTGATTGATGTTCTCAAAGCATAAATTAGACCCAAGAAGGGTCTAAACTAAATTGGCCAGTGCAATAGAGCATTTGGTGTGTTTATGCCCACAGTGTATCTTGCTGTTAATTTTCCCCATGTCTGTAAGGTGACGTGTTTCCGCGATAATGATGTGGGATCCCTTTCTCTTCCCAAGTTAAGGTAGATTCTTCTGTCTATAGTTGTGTCTGGTGGCAAGGTTTTTCCTATAGCAACAGGAGGCCCTTCCCATCATTTGATTATTGTGGCGGGGATGAAACTATACGATCCCCAAAAGGTTTCATGTCTAACAGCCATTATGACCCAAAGATACCAGATCAGTTTTTGGGGACTCACCTGAAATCCTATGGGTAGCAATTTTACTTCCAGTGTTAGAAATTTAAATGGGTCAAATTCTGAAAAGAGTATTTCGTGTTTTAGGTGATCATTTGAATGTATATTGATGGACGACAAGGACAGGAGTTGACTCTTCACCTAAAAATAACCACTACTTTTAATTTTCCTACTAAATCTGCCTTTTAAAATTTTCTAGTCAATAAGAATAGTGACCTTCCTACCAAGAGGACATTTCATTGCTGAAAGTCAACACTTAACTAAAGAAGTCTTTCTAAGACCTCAATTTATGTAGTTTAAAAGCCAGTTTCCAAACAGGACACTTTAAATTTTGCATTGATACTTGAATGTAACTATAGTTATAGACATGTTTACTAGTCTTGGTGACACAGCCTGTAATATTTGATTATCTTTTTCTTTTACCTTTTTTTTGAGTTACTGTGTATGTGTGTCTGAAAGTCCATTCTAGTCTCTGTGTTCTGTAGCTATAACGGGTGAAACAAATTTGTTCTTCAGCTTACCATGGATTTTGTTTTGCTCACAGAGAGCCACAAAATCGCGGTCTAAATCCTACAATACAGATGATGAAGAGGATGTACAGCAGCATCCTGGCAAGGAGATTGGCCAGTTATACAGGTAAGAGCCACATCTTCCGCTCAGGCTCCAGAGGCTTCTCTACTCCCATAAACTTGGAGGTTTAGACTGTACCTACATAGAGAATCAGACCATATGTTAATGCTAAATGGAGTGGAACATGTGAAGACCAATTGGACGTGAGATGATAATATGTGTAAGAAATTTCGCACTTTGCCTGACCCAGAGTAAACCCTCAATTAAAAGTTTGTGACACGGGATTTAGGCACTAGACTGCTAATCACCATGTCGGTGGTTCAAACCCCTTGGCAGTTCAAACTCGCTAGCCACTCCACTGGAGACAGATGAGGCAGTCTGCTTCGTTACAGATTTACAGCCTTGGGAGCCCCAGGGAGCATTCTGCCCTGACCCATAAGATCAGTATGAGTCAGAATTAACTCAATGACCATGAGATTGCAGTTGCAATGTACAAGCTCTATTCAGGGAAGAGGGCCCGTATGAAGTAGCACAGAGACCTCTCGCTCAGACACGAGGAAGAGATAGACACTAAGCACATGTTAGGAGCCATCGATCGACAATGAATTAGATTAAATCCTGGTTCCTCCACTTATCACCTTCAATATGGATGAGTTACGCTACTTGTTTGTATCTATCTCTGAAGGTCATTGTAAGGATTAGGGAAGTTAAAGTATTTAACCTCTTGCCTGATCTAACTAAAAAAAGTTCTCAAAAATATTATTTGTTGTTTTAAATGCCGTGTAATAAAGGTTTCCTCCCCGCTCCCACTACCATGACTCGAATTCTATCTTGCAAGACTGGCTAGACCAGAGGAGGTACACTGGTACAGATAGGAACTGAAAATACAGGGAATCCAGGATGGATGAGCCCTATAGGACCAGTGGTGTGAGTGGCAAAACAGGGAGGGTAAAGGGAGAATGGGTAGGAAAGAGGGAACCGATTACATGGAACTGTGTGTGACCTCCTCCCTGGGGGACAGACAACCGAAAAGTGGATGAAGGGAGACGTTGGACAGGGCAAGATATGACAAAATACCAATTTATAAACTATCAAGGGCTCATGTGGGAGGGGGGAGCGGGGAGGGAGGGGAAAAATGAGGACCTAATGTCGGGGGTTTAAATGGAGAGAAAATGTTTTGAGAAATGATGTACAAATACGCTTTACACAATTGATGTGTGTATGGATTGGGATAACAGTTGTATGAGCCCCTAATAAAATGTTTAAAAAAAAATAATGCCAATATTTTAATGATTAATAAGATATCACAATTTCAGAATCCTATTTATGACACATAAGCTGTTGTAAATATTTCTGATCATTTATTTACATGAGAATTCTAATAAAAATTATGCCACACATTTTTTATACTTATCTATGTTAATGCTTCCTCTTGATACTAGTACATTTATGAATTTTTTGCTTAGTTTTTTATTAAATGAGTAAAAGCTCCATGAGGGCAAAAATGTCTTTTTGTCTTCTCCTACCACTTATCCTCCGTGGTTGTAACATATAGCGAGTGATTAAATTGATGTATCTTTTTAATTCAGACCTTGGCTTTAAAAAAACAGACCACTTTTCCAGATAGTGATAGCAAATAATTTAGGAAAGAGGGTTTTTTGGTTTTTGTTGTTGTTGTTTTAAAGAAAATGTCCTACCATGTGCATTTTATTCCATTTCTTTCTGCAATGTTTACATATAATCATAACTCTTAGGGAATAAATAAAGGTTGTTTTCTTCACCCATCATATGTAGTGCCTCTATCTTTCACTTGAGCATGGAGAACTGGGTGGAGGACCTAGTGAGTGCTAGCCTGCATTGTCATGAGCCGCAGGGCATGTGCCAGGTTAGCCAGACGCTGGCATGGAGAGAGACATGGCTCACACACCTTTGGTATTAGGAGTTCATGCCATGGGATTCAGTCGTACCTCATGGCCAACGATCATGCCCAAATAAATTGGTGTTGGGCAGAGCTCTTGAACTGTACAACATGGAAGAAAGTGGCCACGGGGGCCCTTTGTTATAAATTCAAACCTAATTATGTTTCCAATCTTACTCTTCTTGTTGATGGTATGCCTGGGTCCTACTGACTCTGTCTATTGCGCAGCTAAACTCTCTGCAAAGTGTGGCAACGTCAACCTGGGAAATGGCACATTTCAATCACAATTGCTTAGCAATAGAGGGTTTTTCAATGACTTCTAGCAAAATACAAAGTTCTGCAAACATCCAAATCAACACCGCCACCAAGTCAATTCTGACTCACAGAGTTCTGAAACTTGACTCTTTATGGGAGGCAAAATCCTGGTGTTTCTCACACTTAGTGGTTTTGAACTATTAACCTTGTAGATCACAGCTCAACTCATAACCCCTCTGCCATCTGGCCTCCTATAGTCATACTAGTGAGTGTGAATTTGATTTGAAATTCCCTCATGACTAATGATGCTGAGCATCTTTTCATGTATGGGGGACAGGACAAAAATATTGCTACAAAACTCATAGAAACCTTTATTAAACAAAAATATTAAAATATGAAGCAACTGATTTCAACATAGTCTCCATCTAGGCCTATCAACTTTTGAAGGCTGTGTTTCCATCTGTTTCCCAAAGATTTCTGTGCTTTTCAATTTATACCACATCCAAACGGCAGTGTTGGCATCCTGAAGCCATATTGCTTTTTTTTTTTTTAACATTATTTGAGTTGTGGGGGGGGAATTCTTTAAGGGACAACGTCAAGGCTATAAGGGAAATGGGGTCAAGTTTCCCAGTGAAATTCTTGCTACTGTACATTGTTGTAGTAGGAAAAAATTCTTGGGGACACTTCCCATTTTCTTCCAACTTCTGCCTCATAAGATCTCTCTAGGACCTGTGAGAAAATCAACAAATGATTATCTCTTTGTAACCTTCCAAAGCAGGGGTCCTCAAACTATGGCCTGCGGGCCATATGCGGCCCGCCGAGGACATTTATCTGGCCCACCGGGTGTTTTTGCCC